AAAAAAAACAAGCAAACGTTTTAAAGTAAACGTTCATGTGATTCAAGCTCTATTATTCTACACAACTGTTAAAGTCATTTACTAATTAACGAACTTGCAGGGGGATTGATTGTGAATTTACCGAGTTGAATATGTAGCATAAACAACAATGACCTACATAGGTTGTATACAGCTCGCAAGATTAGTGTAATTACACATGCACATATTTATATCAATGGCCTTCATATGGTGTACTCTAGCTATTCACACACTATTTCTGTTATACGTCCACATCTGTTCATTTTTTATAAGGTTAGTGTTCTCATACAACAAACATTTGTTATGTATAATATATTCGATAAGACGAGACATGCAATCTCTTAACAAACGTTCTAAAGTAAATGGTAAACCCAACCGCCAGACGTAATTTGCATACTTTATCAAGTATATCGCCAAATTACTTCCAATAAGAAAAAAAAACCTTCAGAAATCGTGCTACATAATTGTATTGCGATTGATTTCTGGAAACCCAACTGTTCAACATAATCGAATACGCGGAAATCTCATGTCTATTTTCGTTTCGATATATAGTAGCTGATGTGCGTTTGTTGTGCTATCAAACGCTGTCAATATATCATATAAAGCTTGTTAATGAATTCAGGATTAAACTGAAGTGGATACTTGGTGAATTAACCCTCCTCCTTTGTTAGAGGAACATATCGGAGTCTCCGAAAACACACATACACTACACGCATGCATCTTGCACACAGGGGAGGCCGTCCTTAAATGACTATACCAAATCAGACTATATTCCAAGAATTAATAAGCCAAATATGAGAATTGTATACCATTTAATACTTCAGAAGTCGTTTTATATTTCACCCAGGTGACCTTGAAGGTGGGTCAAGGTTCTTTTTTATTCTCAAACGTTGTCTAGCTCTATCAGAGGAAACCACCAGCAAAATATGAAGATTCTATACCTTTCGGTTCTTCAGGAGACGTGGTGTTGAGAGTTTGACCCCTTTGACCGATGATACATATTTGACCCATGCAAACTAGAAAGTATGTCAAGGTCTTTTCTTTCTCAAACTTTGTCTGGCTCTATCCCTGGAGGCCATAAGCCAAATATAAAGATTCTATATCCTTCGGTTTTTCAGAAGAATGCGTTTGTAGTGATGACAGATTTTACCCCTGTGACCTTGAAAATAGGTCAAGGTCTTTTTTTCTGAAACTTTGTTAGGCTCCTACCAATAAAGCTTTCAGACAAATATCATGACTCTAGCCAGACCGTTCTTCAAAAGAAGTTGTTTAAAGGAAAAGTTGACGGACGCCGCACCATGACATAAGCTCACTTGCACTTCGGGTAGCATTTGAGCTAAAAAAAATGGGTGAAGGTTGATTGATTCTTTGATAAGATGTTCGACACTTCTAACAGGTCATCAATTATTTCAGATGACTTACTTCAAAATTGAGAATTCAAAGACTCCCTTCCTTATAGGATATCCTGTGCAGAAAGCTT